GTAAAGATTGTTTTGAGTCTACAAGGTCAACGAATTTGTTCCAAAATTCGTCCCAATCTTCCTCATCTTTCCCTGAGAAAGTGGGTAAATTAATTGGAGGGAGTCGAGCTTCCGCTTGACTCGTATTAGATGCAACTGTTGTTGTTGTTGCTGTTGCCTTGTTCTGGGCAATTAATTTGACATAAGGCTGTAACGTGGCCTGAGTGTGATCTTCATAATTCGCAAGATCAACCATAATGTCGTCTATTTCTGTTTCTGATAAATTGGTGTTGGCAAGTTCAGCCACATATGTTGCTATTTGGCATTTGATTTGCTCAAATTTACCTGCAGCTGCTTGATAATAGCTTTCCAGGTCAGCATAATCAACTTGAGATTGTTGTGACAAATCTTCACATTTCTTGATCTGTCTTGTTAAGTGGCCTTTAAGACCTGCAAGGGTTCTTTTCATTCTCCCTGCATTATCCATACTGGCTCGTTGGTGAAGCCTTGTGGGGCTTGTACTTGGGCTGCTCATAATACTGAACAAACACTAATGGTAGCCTAGGGTAAATTCTGAACTCACTAGGCAATAATCCTACCTCTACTAGAGGTTAGCACTTAAAATTAATACACATTATATATATACAATCATCCACACTAATAATTTGAGTGATAAACCAGTGTCACTGGAAGTACCTTTAGGTTAGCTCTTCTATATCACCCTAGGATGGTAGAGACACTAATTAATCACTCAAAGGTGTAATGATCATAAGTAATTTATTATATATACAACTCAACTCGAGTTGATAAAAATTACACCCAAAATAGGGTGTGGACCATTCATTAATGGTGTAGGTTGATCAATATAGTACAACTGACTATGGTAATAATGGGACTAGGATGAACAATAATAGTTCAACTAGTCAATGGTAATATCCTACCCTGTTGTGGGTTGGCAATTAGTAAATATTATATTGTGATCACTAGTGCAATATATATTAAATAATTCTCTATCTTGGAGAAATAATATACACAATTATTGTTAATAGCCTCTTAATTAGCCTCTATGAAACTTCTAATATTATCTAGAAGTATTAAATATTATTAGTGACCTCGCGAAATAAACTCCACAAAATTCGTAGATAATCTCTCGCGAAATGTAACACCACGAAATCCGTGAACAATCTCGCGAAGACACAGTCACTAATTTGGCTGGTTTCTATATTAGCGCTGTCATTTCACAGAATAACACGCCACCAAATCTGTGGGTGTGCATGAAACCGCTGACTAAGGCTGAACTCGGCTGAGGGAGGCTCCTGAGCTCCCACGAGGCATCGCCGCTGTCTATGACTGGCTGGCTTTGTTTAAATAACACTGCACTAGTATATTTAATGAATCCACTGGATAACTGGTTCATCCGGTACTAAGATGACCAAATGTGGGTTCAAAGGATCAAATAATCCGTCATCCGGTTCGAAGATGACCAAATAATGTGGGAACCGACCTGTGAGATTTATATTTATTTGATTTATATGAATTTATATTTACGTTAATTTATATACTTCGATAGCAATTTGTATAATGATAAGTGGACTGTATTTCTGCAATAATCTCTTAATCTCACAAATCGATCCTCTACACATTAGGGGGGTTTATATTACACATATGCAGCCAATCAAATTACAGTAATAGCTACATACATTGATGAGGTTCCTTCTCTTATAGTACAGCAGGTTAGTCCACCAGGTATAACTAGAGTGTAGACACCAAATTATCCTCTTTGAGGTAGCTTCTATCACCCAGTAACTGGTGCACATAATCTTGCATCCTCGTCTTGACCTGTCAAAAGTGCGCTAGCTGTGAAGCCAGAATCCTATATATGACAAGCTATATCAGAGAAAACACTATACAGTACATGGAACATTAAAGACCTGGCTTAATTACCTTTAGTATGAGGCGATTTCGCGTTCTAACCGGCTAACCCTATATCCTGACATTAATGGCCACAAATGAATGATAAACGGGTTTCGGATAGACACTTAACTTGTATTTGTAGACAGCGTGTTGACAATGGTACACCTTTGGGTTCCATAACACTACGTCCAAGTAAATTTAACAGGAGCCGAATTTGCTCCCGTGTGAGCCTCTGGTCTCATATAACAACAATGGCTGCCCTCCTTCCTCCACTCTGACGCCTGGCTTACATTGTCCAGATTTCAGAACGTGATAGAAGGGTCACATTTACTCTACTTTAATATTGATAATTAAGTTAATTTATATAAGATGTTTTTATGATGGTAAAGTCCAAAGACTAATGTATTTAAGAATAATTCCCAGCAGAATAGCTGGTGAATTATAATGGTATGTGGTGATGATATCCCGTTTTCTATAGACGGTAATTCCACTACAAGTTACGTTTTCTATGGGTAACTTGTTGGTAATACAGCAGAAATTATTATCTGTCTGTATGATATATTAAATGGTGTCGGATTTTCCGACATGTGTGTGTGTGGCTGTGTATATTGTGTATGTGTGTGTGTGTGGCTGTGTATATTGTGTATGTGTGTGTGTGTGTGGCTGTGTATATTGTGTATGTGTGTGTGTGTGTGGCTGTGTATATTGTGTATGTGTGGCCGTGTATATTGTGTATGTGTGTGTGTGTGGCTGTGTATATTGTGTATGTGTGTGTGTGTGTGTGGCTGTGTATGTGTGTGTGTGTGGCCGTGTATATTGTGTATGTGTGTGTGTGTGGCTGTGTATAACGGCGTATGGCTGTGTGTGTGCAATTGTGTATATTATCTATGATAAAACAAGTGAAGATTGTAAAGATAAACACAGCCTCCAAACGCATATTACGTTACGAAAACGCGAGATAATTCGAATTTAAATTCCAATATTTTCTTCCCGCACATCAAGATTTGATCTCAAAAATAAACTTTTAAAATGTACCCCCCCCCCCCCCCCAAAAAAAAAAATAAGATTTTACGATACCTCAAATATTTCTTGATATCTTTTAAGGTGACGATGGGAACGAAAGAGTGACAGGCTTGAAGTGTGAGGGGTGACAGGGTGACAGAGAGTGGTGACTGTCACACTTAGCCTGTCACAACAGCCGGTTTAAACGGTTATCTCTTGTGTTGACAGTGACACATTGACAGTTTATCGCGGTGGGGAAGAGTGAACGGTTATTTCCCTGTCTGTCTGTCTATCACTAACTCCGGGACCGTGGTAAATATTCTTCATCGTCACATCTATCCACACAAACGACCACTTAAGGGCAAGCTTGCACGCTACTTACAAAACACAGAGGCACTTAAAAGTGTTCTCCCCCAGGCCGCTGAACAAGTTCCCTTCCCTGCAGCTAGGCTTGGTGGCCATCCCGCGGTCCAAATAAGCTTTTGGGTGAAGAGATTAAGCCTTCTCAGCTTGGGATCAGAGGGAGAGCAAAGAATACAAGTTAACATTGTAAACAAAAAAAACCCAACGGGTTTTGAAGCCTAACTTAACCTCACCCAACCTAACCTAATCCAAGCGAGCCTAACGCAGCCTAACGTAATCCAACCGAGCCTAGCACATCCTAACCCAATCCAACTGAGCCTAGCACATCCTAGCCTAATCCAACCGAGCCTAGCACATCCTAACGTAATCCAACCGAGCCTAGCACATCCTAACCCAATCCAACTGAGCCTACCACATCCTAACCTAATCCAACCGAGCCTAGCACATCCTAACGTAATCCAACCGAGCCTAGCACATCCTAACCCAATCCAGACGAGCCTAGCACAGCCTAACCCAATCCAACTGAGCCTAACACATCCTAACCCAACAAAATATATGGTTTTCATAATAGGAAAACGAGCCGAGCGTCGTCGAACCGTCCAGAGTACGACTGAACCACAGGCGTATTGGGGGATACGAACTACTGAAATTTGGGCGAGGTATTTTGGCTTGTATTGTTGCTTCACTGCCTGGCCCGAAGTGCCCAACTGTCCTCCAGTGTGTAAGTCACGACCCTCCGGCTCGTAAGTTGTGTTCTTCCAGTATATAAGTCACGATTAGGAGAGTTGTAGGTTGAACGTTGAGGGAGGAGGAGGAGGACAAAGAGGGGGAGGTGAGAGACTCCTTCTCTCACCTGTAGAAGTGAGAGAAGCCTCGTTAAGACCGGGTAGAGCGACCAGAGGCACCAACAACAAGGGTGTAGTCCGATACTATCCACCAGGTGACGGGGTCCCATCCCCCCCTCACCCAACCGGTTTTCGGTTGACAACGAGACTTCGCACGTTTCCAGAAACCTCTTATATGTGGCAATTGTTCCAGCTTGTACAGAGACCCATATAACTTTTACGAGAAATGCGGGGAAATCATGATATTGCGACGCTGCAAGGGAATTTGATCTCTGGGCAATGATGCTGTGTAGGGACTGGACTAAGCAGTAAGATGGTGTGTGTTCCGGTGGCTGGCTGCCTTAAGCCAGTATAAGAGGCAGGGAAAAGTGGTGACACACACACCTGGTCCCCACTGACTTCCACGCATTCGACGCCACTTAGCGGTATGCATCCTGTCGCACTCTACACAACACACTGCATAACATCCACCGCAGGAAATAAAAGTCGGCCACTAACGCTCAGTGGGTCAGTGTCTTGTCGGTGTTCGTTCTGGCGGTGTCTTGGTGGTGTTAGCGAGGACATTGTCACCGGCGGTGTGTCGGTGGAGGTGACAGATATCCACCCACGTCGTCGCTATGGGCTGTTTTATACGGTAAGTCGTTTCGAAATCGCTAATCAAGAAGAAAACGAGAGTTTATAATAGAAATGTACTGATGTCTCGAAGGTATCTGTAACATTTTAGGATATACTTTAGTATTTTGTTGTCTCATGGCGTGGATATAATTCTCACATTTGACAACTGGTATTGTTATGGGTCAAAATGCAGGCTCTGGCATCGGTACAATTATGAACAAGAGAAAATATTTAGCGAAGGATGTATGTTCAATACCACCGACATACTCCAGAGAATTTCTGATGGATTTATACACGGATTTATGATGAATACATCGCGCTGCTGCGATGTTTGAAGTTGTGCGCCTGCGTCTTGTAGCCGGGAGTCAGATACCATCATCCGGTGTACGCCAGCCAGGACAGGAGAGACAGCAGCAGTAAACACAGCCAGAGTGACAGTATCTGTCGACGTCCCTCGTGGAGCCGTCAACGTCACTCACTGTCTTTAGAGTGACGTTCAAGAGTAACTTTACACTCTAGACAAGTGCACGTCCTTTCCCGAGTGCCTTCACCCGCTACTAAGGACCTTGTTCAACTCTCGCGGTGAAGCCTAATGGGTAGTGAACTGATCACTTGATTGGACGTCCAGTGGAGAGATAAACTTCACAGATCTAAGATGAAACCGTAAGTTGGCTTTTCAATATCAACTATTACAGACTTGGATTCATTTTAAAGAACTGGTTAACATATATAGAAGACAGGGCATTATGTAGCACACTCGCTTGGCCAGCAAGAAGACCTGGGTTCTAATCTCGGACATGATGGGACGATTGGGCAACATTTTTGTAAGAAGGTAAACCGATTAGGGTATAGTTTTCTGGTGAAAACCTCGGAGCTAGGTAAACCGAACCTGTTCTACTACGCCTGAAGCCTAAATTCAGGGTCTCAGACCTAAATTCAGACCCTCGAAGCCTCGTACCCCAATTTTGAAAATAATACGTTCTTTCACAATTGTATTTTGTCGTTTATTGCAGCACATGTTGCGACACGTGACGCGAGGTGACAAGTGTTGATCCATGTGTCACCAATGTTTTTGTTGCAACCATGTGAGCGTGTGTAGTGATCTTTTCTACCAGCGTCGCGGAGGATAGTCCAAAGGTTGAAATTGAAATAAGTTTATTGAGGTAAAATACACACAAAGGGATGAGGTAGCTCAAGCTATTCTCACCCCGTTAGTCCAAAGGTTAGTTGGTGATAGGGTAATGAAGCCCCCCTACTGGTCCGGGGGGCAGAGAGGGAGAGTAAGTGAGTGAGTGAGTTTACTCCTGTTAGCAGGCTGAGAGCGTTCCCTTCCCATAGCTCATGGTAAACCTTACCCTGCTAGTTATCCCTGGAACACGACCCGGCAAACGATTTACATCCAGGTCATTAATTACGTCTGGGATGACCAGCGTCGATCAGTTGAGCATCGGTGCTCAATGGACTCTTCCCTAACCCGCGCAGTGCTGACGTTAGGGGCTCAACGGACGGACATTGCTGTACGTGCACCATGCGTGCTCCACACGTGCACCATGCGTGCTCCATACGTGCACCACACGTGCACCATACGTGTACAATATGAGGTCCATATGCGTCTCGTAATTTGGCAATTGCAGGCTACAAGGGCTTATAAAACGTGCCCGTGAGTGCATACCAATGATGGGCAGCGTCCTGGGTACGTGTGGAGGGTAGCTTGGACCTGGCCACCTACGACAAGATACCCATTGTTGCCCCGGACTCACACACACACTGCAGCTAATGCCCTTAACACCTCTCCTTCCCCCATACCCACTGGCCCCATGCCCACTATACCCCATCTCCCCAAGCGATACAGATAAATTCAACGAGGCAACAGGTGTTGGAAGTGTGCCCCAAGATTCTCGCCCTGACCGGGAATGGAACCCGGGACCAGTCGGTTGTGTGTCGACTACAAGGGGCCTGATTCACGAAGCAGTTACGCAAGCACTTACGAACCTGTGCATCTTTTCTCAATCTTTGGCGGTTTTGTTTACAATTATTAAACAGTTAATGAGCTCCGAATCACCAGGAGGCTGTTTATAACAATAACAACAGTTAATTGGGAAGTTTACATGCTTGTAAACCGTTTAATAAATGTAAACAAAGCCGTCAAAGATTGACGAAAGATGTACACGTTCGTAAGTGCTTGCGTAACTGCTTCGTGAATCTGGCCCCTCAGGACACTATACTGCGCGCTACAGGTCGCTAAGACGACTTGTGTAAGGCTGCGGTGGTGAGGAACACGACCATTGACACGCCCACACCCCCACACGCCCACTATTACAAGCCACATCACCATTAATCAGAGCCCCAATTCCCCGGCCGCCAGCCACCTCACGCCGCCCTCAACAAACCGGTTGGCTTAACGCCAGAATATCGCCCGAGGGACGAGCCGCCGGGATTACAAACCGGTTTTATTGAAAGGATGAACCAGCCAGTATGAAGGCGAGGGGTCGAACCCGTGTCATCATGTTTATACATTTATCTTCTCTCTCCGCTCCCCCACCGCTCCATGGGAGGGTTGGGATCTCCCCCACCCCCACCTCCCCACAACTGGGGGGGGGGGGAGGCAGGAGATTGCTCAGAAATTTACGTTTTTTCCGGAAAATATGCAATTATTTTGATTAGTTTTTCTAATCAAAGACAATTTGATAAATTCAAATCAATTTTATAATTTAATTTTATCTGATTTCAGCATAATTTTACCTTAAATATTCTTGTGGGTTATTTTTTCTCGTAAGAAGGAATTAGGAACGTAGAAATTTATTATTTTTATTATTATAAAAATAATAATAATTATTATTATTAAATTATCTTGTATTGTGATTCCTGGCAACCTTGCTGAGGGGTTGCCACTTTCTCCGGTATTTTCTGTTTCACGTGTGAATGACTAAGTTAGTTATTACCGTCAATGATGGCAGTGTGTTCAAGAATGTTGTGAGGGTTGGCGCATGGCACCATTCACCCTCCCGGGGGCGTGAGTGAAAGGGAAGTGATGCTGCCATACAGCCAGCCTCCTCCGTCCCGTGTTCGAAGATGCTGGATGATCTTATAAAGAATCTAGACCAATTAAAAGCGCGGATACATCGGGAACTTAGCGGTGATTGGCCAGTTTCCCCTTCCGACGCGGCAAGTGGCACTTCCCGTCTGATATCACAGCTGGGGCCACTTACGACTGGGGAAAAATAAGTGAACTTGCGACAAAGTTCACACAGAAGTTTATTAAGAACTTCTCCTTGCTCCATATACCATTTTCCTCTATTATGGCATCGGTTTTTTACCGTCGCTTCAGGGCCGGACGGCCGGTTATTCGGAAAGTTTGGTTGCCATATCCGATGTGTTGAGGTGGCCGGATGTTCTGACGCTCATCAGAGCCAGATATCTTGGGTGCTGACACTGGGGTGGTGCTGACACTGTCTGTGGTGGTACTGACACTGTGGTGGTGCTGACACTGTCTGTGGTGGTGCTGACACTGTCTGTGGTGGTGTTGACACTGTCTGGGGTGGTGTTGACACTGTCTGTGGTGGTGCTGACACTGTCTGTGGTGGTGTTGACACTGTCTGGGGTGGTGTTGACACTGTCTGGGGTGGTGTTGACACTGTCTGGGGTGGTGTTGACACTGTCTGTGGTGGTGCTGACACTGTCTGTGGTGGTGCTGACACTGTCTGTGGTGGTGCTGACACTGTCTGTGGCGGTGCTGACACTGTCTGTGGTGGTGCTGACACTGTCTGTGGTGGTGCTGACACTGTCTGTGGTGGTGCTGACACTGTCTGTGGTGGTGCTGACACTGTCTGTGGTGGTGCTGACACTGTCTGTGGCGGTGCTGACACTGTGGTGGTGCTGACACTGTCTGTGGTGGTGCTGACACTGTCTGTGGTGGTGCTGACACTGTCTGTGGTGGTGGTGTGGTGACACTGTCTGTGGTGGTGCTGACACTGTGGTGGTGCTGACACTGTCTGTGGTGGTGCTGACACTGTCTGTGGTGGTGCTGACACTGTCTGTGGTGGTGCTGACACTGTCTGTGGTGGACACTGGTGCTGACACTGTCTGTGGTGGTGCTGACACTGTCTGTGGACACTGGTGCTGACACTGTCTGTGGCTGGTGCTGACACTGTCTGGGGTGGTGCTGACACTGTCTGGGGGGTGCTGACACTGCTGACACTGTCTGTGGTGGTGACACTGTCTGCTGACACTGTCTGTGGTGGTGCTGACACTGTCTGGGGGGTGCTGACACTGGGGTGGTGCTGACAGTCTGGGGTGGTGCTGACACTGTCTGTGGTGGTGCTGACACTGTCTGGGGTGGTGCTGACACTGTCTGTGGTGGTGCTGACACTGTCTGTGGTGGTGCTGACACTGTCTGTGGTGGTGCTGACACTGTCTGTGGTGGTGCTGACACTGTCTGTGGCGGTGCTGACACTGTCTGTGGTGGTGCTGACACTGTCTGTGGTGGTGCTGACACTGTCTGTGGTGGTGCTGACACTGTCTGTGGTGGTGCTGACACTGTGTGGTGGTGCTGACACTGTCTGGGGTGGTGCTGACACTGTCTGTGGACACTGGTGCTGACACTGTCTGTCTGGTGCTGACACTGTCTGTGGTGGTGCTGACACTGTCTGTGGTGGTGCTGACACTGTCTGTGGTGGTGTCTGGGTGGTGCTGACACTGTCTGTGGTGGTGCTGACACTGTCTGTGGTGGTGCTGACACTGTCTGTGGTGGTGCTGACACTGTCTGACACTGGTGGTGCTGACACTGTCTGTGGTGGTGCTGACACTGTCTGTGGTGGTGCTGACACTGTCTGTGGTGGTGCTGACACTGTCTGTGGTGGTGCTGACACTGTCTGTGGTGGTGCTGACACTGTCTGGGGTGGTGCTGACACTGTCTGTGGTGGTGCTGACACTGTCTGTGGTGGTGCTGACACTGTCTGTGGTGGTGCTGACACTGTCTGTGGCGGTGCTGACACTGTCTGTGGTGGTGCTGACACTGTCTGTGGTGGTGCTGACACTGTCTGTGGTGGTGCTGACACTGTCTGTGGTGGTGCTGACACTGTCTGTGGTGGTGCTGACACTGTCTGTGGTGGTGCTGACACTGTCTGTGGTGGTGCTGACACTGTCTGTGGTGGTGCTGACACTGTCTGTGGTGGTGCTGACACTGTCTGTGGTGGTGCTGACACTGTCTGTGGTGGTGCTGACACTGTCTGTGGTGGTGCTGACACTGTCTGTGGTGGTGCTGACACTGTCTGTGGTGGTGCTGACACTGTCTGTGGTGGTGCTGACACTGTCTGTGGTGGTGCTGACACTGTCTGTGGTGGTGCTGACACTGTCTGTGGTGGTGCTGACACTGTCTGTGGTGGTGCTGACACTGTCTGTGGTGGTGCTGACACTGTCTGTGGTGGTGCTGACACTGTCTGTGGTGGTGCTGACACTGTCTGTGGTGGTGCTGACACTGTCTGTGGTGGTGCTGACACTGTCTGTGGTGGTGCTGACACTGTCTGTGGTGGTGCTGACACTGTCTGTGGTGGTGCTGACACTGTCTGTGGTGGTGCTGACACTGTCTGTGGTGGTGCTGACACTGTCTGTGGCGGTGCTGACACTGTCTGTGGTGGTGCTGACACTGTCTGTGGTGGTGCTGA